CTACTGTTGTCTAATACTGGGCATGAGAATGAGTACATGGAACACACAGTTCTGTGTAGGATTGGCTGAAACAAGCTCTCCCTGTGAGGAGGCTATCTTGGTGCTGAAGAATTCTGATACACTTAGCAGGACAGAAATTCAATATAAGATAAGCTGGTTTCAGAAAATAGGTCACTAATGTAAGGTTGCAGTTATTTTATTCCAAAGTTTGTCCTACATCTGTCTTAGATTTCTTCTTCCTCGTCCATGCACAAAGCTTATCAAACTTTCTGATTAAGACTGCAGTGAAGAGCCTGGTTTTGGTATGTGGGTCATCATACTGTTGCAGCCCTTCATCCTTTCTTTTTACCACTAACAAATGTATTTTGTTTGCCCTGTTACGTTGCTGCCAAAGGGAGCAGAGAAAACCTCAGGTATTGATTTTTCACACATGGGGAGTGCACCTTGTAGTCACCTGTTTTACCACGTGTAGTTTGGAACTGAATGGGCTCATGGGATTATAAGGTTTATTTTAGAGCTGAGTTCACAGCTTGAGGTGGAACTGATGTGTTAGCTGTTAGTCCTTTTTCACTGCTTTAGTGTATTTTGCTTGTTGCAGTTCTATTTCAGTAGCTAATATTTCTGTAATAGGAATGTCACTGATCAGAACTGATTGTTTGGGTTCTTAACAGGCTTTCAGCTATTTGGATCTGGTCTTGGAAAATAATTTCTGCTTAATAATGTTTAACTAATTTAATAATCATGCTAACTGACTAGGTACATAATTTTGCAGCATTTGGTCCGTGGACTTGAAGACATGGAACTGATTAATTAGCAGTCAAATACATGAAATGTGTGTAGCTCTGTGTGAATGATCAGGGACTTTATTTTCAGCAGTACTCAAAATTTCAATAGAAGTTTTTTTATTTCTGTTTTTGTAGCAAGATACTCTTTACCTCACAGGATGACTCTCAAAAATACTTGGTTTACCATGTGCAGGAAATGATGTTTTGCAATAATTTGATTCTCAGCAAAGCATTCGGTCTTTCATCACTGAATATAATTTTCTGTGTTAGTCCCAGTTGCTTTCTTAAATGGACCATGCCTCCCAGAAAATCTTGGAAGTGTAATTTTCTGTTAATAATACATTTTTATAATTCTGTGACAACAAAAGAAAAATATATCTTTTGCATACTGGCAAGAAGTGCAGATTTGCTACACTAGTCATGTCTGTTAATTATGCAGTCTGCATACGCTTTGACCATTTTTTTGCTTAGCTTTCAATGTCAACAGTGACGTTAGGATATTTATGTTGAACCTGAGTAAAACAGTCTTGAGGTTTTTTGAGAAATCCTTTCTCACAGAAGATTGCATCCAGACTACCAAGAAGTAGAAATCCCCCAAATAAAAAAGTTCTTACAGTTTTCATAAAAGACTTAGGCTAGAGGAATTGGTCCCCTCTGAGGAGTGGTATAGGTCGAATTTTGTTCTTGATACATTCTGATTTGGTTGTTTTACCTAAGTGCTAACAGTGGCAGCTACTGCAGATACTTTCTTTTGGAGATACCAGAGAAGAGAAACAATGAAAGTTATTATGATAGTGTCTTGGGTAAAAGATGCAGATTGATCAAATTAATTAGTTTACCTCATGAAACAAGTTGCTTTTTAGCTTTCTTAGTTTTGTGAATTACTTTTTTAAAATCTTGTCATTCTAGTTAGATTTCAACTGTTGCGCATATTCAGTTAAAGAAATTCAACTATGAAGACCAGAATAAAGCACATTGTATCTATAAAATCCTTTGGAAATGAGTGGGATTGGATAATTCTAATAGAGATTTGATTGTTAATGTAATATCATTGACATGAGTTAAAATTAGATAGAAGAACCAAAGCACCAAGAAACTTTCTGAAGTATTACAGAATATTTACAGGAAAAAAAGATGGCATGACTAGACTTTACCCTCACCTTTAAGACCTTCCTACTCTAGAAAATCCCAGTGGTTGCTTGTTCTGTTCTTGATTCTGCAGTAGATTGAGGGAGTGTTTAATTTATCTTAAAGTGTATGACCCCATTCTGTTCATGTTAAGCAGATCTCTTTAAGATCATTACTACACTGCTGGCACATATCATTCATTTAGAAAATGGCTTGAGGTGAAGCAAACTGGTATAGCTGTTGTATCCACATGGAGATGACTTGGAGCCATGGGTCTGTGGTAAGAGGGAAGCAGCTTCAGAATTAATTTCTGGGAAGCAGAAAAAATCTGACTTTTATGGGAGATGCAGTTGTGAAGGATCCAAGATGCAGTGTTACCTGTACCCCATAAAAGATGGAAGTTTATCAAGAGTGTTGTGGCATTTGGGAGTCACAGAATGAGGTGCTAAAGAGTTCTGGAGTAACATAACTTTGTGACTCAGCAGTGAAGTCGGGAGTGCCTCCTGATCTGACACAGCCAGGCTGAAAAACTGAAAATGCACACCCAATTAGAAGATTGCAGGGGAGCTGGTCAGGGCCAAGCTGTACTTTAACTTTGCATTCATTCATCCTGGATCTATCTGTTTATGAAACTGGCTGATCAGGATGATATATTCACCCCTGCCCAAGTAGTTTGATTTATATGGACAATACAAAAATGTTCAAACATTACTGGACAAAGGTTAATGTTGTTCTCATAAATATAAGGGTCCAATAACAGTTTACTGACAAACATTTGTAACACAATACATGATTATGCAATGAATCTAAATTAAAAAATGTACTGGATTGTCTGGACTAGGCACATATATCTTTCCTACCATACATTTTCCAGGATATTAATGGAGAGTTTTCTGGTTTCAATTCAAATATTTGATCCAAGAATTTAAGTTAAGATTAAAAGTACCTTCAATTCAGAACTGACTTAAGGAGTGGTGGTGTAAAATTTTTACCATTTGAGTAAAGTGTTCTTTGTTCTCTCTATTTCTAGAGAACTGGGTAACATTTAGATTTCTCTGCCATGCTGGTCAGTAGCTGGTTTTTGGTCAGGTTATTAGGGTTAATACTAGGAATGTGGTCATGATTCGTACTGTGATGAACTGGAAGCATAGACAAGACAAGGGAGCAAATAATCACAGTCACCATCAGAGATGGCATCCAGACACAATCCATTGCCACTGGTTATCACTCAGCTCTGACCCTGGGGCTAATACTATAACTCGAAAAGCCTAGAGTGTCTTGTCCATCCATACAAAGGAACCAAAAGAAAAGAAAATAATGAAGATGCTCCTGAGTTTAAAGGACTTTATGTAGACAAAGAGAGTGTATGTAAGCACAAATAATAAAAACTTTAAGATGTTTAAGTTAGAAGATGTGGAAAGGGAGAACATGTTTCCCACTTCTGTTCTGTTTCCAATTTTGAACACCCAGGGTTGATTTAATGGCTGGTATATTCAAGGAAGACTTGTTCTGTGAACAGAATTTAGCTGGAATGTTCTCGGGGATCTACTTTTCATCTATAAATAACAACAGTTCTATTCTGGTTGTCCTGTTTTTTCCCTTATGTTTGCCTAGTGAAAATACGTGATCAGCTGAAGTATGGTTCTTTCTTTGTATGTAAGTTTTGTAGCATCAATAATAGCTTTTGGACATGCTTTTATCCTTCTCCTTCATCTTCTTCCATCGCTAGCTTTTATCCCTAAAAAAACTACCCACAGCACATTCTGTAGTCTCTCTTTCTGAGTCCTACTGAGAACAGTTATAGGATGGTGTCTTGATGGATTTTGTTTGGTATGCTTCATTTCAAGATATTGACATTCTGTTTGTTTTAACCTAGCCAATGAGAAATAGCAGGAAGAGAATAGCAGAGGATGCAGTTCTGACTATTGATTTTCTTGTCCCTTTTGTTGGTTGATTAATTTCTCTAACAATTGCTTCTGAGCTAGCCATCTGTGTGTGACCACTACTAGCCAGTATAGGGTATTTCATGGCTAGGTGAGGCCATAGCTGATAATGCCAACTTCACCTTCTGAATTCTTCCACCAAGGTGTTATAATTTGGTGTGGGACCAATACTGAGTCCTCTATAAATAGTGAAATACCTTACTTTTGAATATGTCATTCCTACTCATCCACAGTGTTTGTAAATGCCAGAAGTGCATAAGCCAGCTGTTTCACAAGAGAGACAAGAGGGCTTAGACAAACGAAACATTGCAAAAAGGAGACCTGTCCATGAGTTACTTGTATGGAAGCAGTATTTTCACTACTTTCACTAGCATTGGCTGGTATTGTTATCATGTCCCTACCAGCTATAGGAGAACTCAAAACTGTCTAGTACTGTGTATCGTGACTGTTACAAAGCACCAGGGTGAAGTGAGACTCTTACTAATTCTAAGATCTCTACAGATGATGCATCTTGCTGTAAGCTAGAAGAGGGTGCATTTTGGAATGCAGAAGGGAATCACTCTTGTGTAGGAGTTGAGTGAGGCAGTAGTGAAAATAGAAGAATAATTGTAAAGCTATTTCTCTGGTTTATGAGTCCCTTTTCTTCCTATAATTTTTGAAGAAGAGAGCTGTGATAATAAAATTGTGAGAAAAAGTTGCTGATTTCATTCCAGATGTAATTATTTCATGAACAAAATCTGCATGCTCTTGGATATTTTTGTTTTGCTTTCACAATTTAGGTAAATATCACAGTAGAACTTCTGGGACACCATGTATTTTTCAAGATGGCTTTCTGAGGCTTTTTAGAGCCATGGAATACAGTTGAAAAGCTGTGGTTCAGAGATGTAAAATTGATTGGTGCGTGTCTGTAACCTATACTTCTTTTATGATATCTTATATGATATACATAATACATGTAGCCTGTTTATCATGGGGATGTTAAGGGATGATAATATGCAGTCGTTGATTCTAACTTTGATCTTAGAGAGAAATAATTTCTTTAAAAGTTGAAAAATGTTGCTTGCACATTTGTCTGACTGCTGTTTGTCTGGCATGCCTGACCTGATTTAATTTGTTCTGATGGTAAAGGTTTATAAAATATAAGAAGTCAGGTGTTATGAGAGAACTGTGAAATCTACTTTGATGGGGAATATCTCTTTTCATGGATAAAAGAAAGAAACAGTGTCAGTGGCTGTCTTGGTTTTGGAAGACAGGTGTCTGCTAGGGAGGGCAGGAGCCTCCCTTGGAATGAAAATGTAGACCCCCTCCCCTCTGAATTATTATAATTTTGAAATCAAGGGCTCTCAGGCAGAGATCTGGGGATAATAATGACAGTTCTTTACTAGTATGTATAACAAGGCAAACAAACAACAGTAACTACAGCGTTAGCAAGAAAACAGAACCAGGGACCCCGTGACAGCCTTCTCGGCCGAGATGGGAAAGGATGGAGGAGAGGCTTTGCCTCACAATCCCACTTGGGCAGTCAGTCCTGGTGCTCCTGCAGGGCTCTGAGGAACACTCAGCTGGAACAGCAGGGATGAGCTGAGATCCTGGGCCAGTGGATGGTGTGTATCAGCATCAACATTGCCTTCTAGTACAAACAGATGTTAATGTCTTTTTAAAATTTGGATATACCATTTTAACGGTTATAATTTTCAGAACAAGAGCAGGCAATGACATTAGATTTTTTTCTTTTTAAAGGAAAAAGGTATTTATCTGCAACAGTTGCATAGACGGACATATCATAATATTATGTTGGTACAAAGAATGCTGTGCATTTCTGGCAAATCTGTGTGATAGGGTAGTTGTTAGAGTGACAGAGAACTAAATATCAGTCTGGCTTTGTTTTCCTTGTATCAAAGCTATTTCCAGTCTATTCTCCTCTGTTTCTTTGAACTTGAATGTCTTTAGTGTTTCATGTAAAGTATTAAAACCATGTGCTCAGTACATTGTGTCGGGGTTGTTTGGTGAGGTGGAACTGTTCCCGTGTTTGTATTCTCCACCACACCCACCCTGCAAGCAAACCTTGTTCTTGAGGTTGGCTTATCAGGACCTCCATATCTGTAGCTGCTGCTTCAGTTCGTATGGTACAGTCTGCTCACTGCTTGCACAGAAATCACCTCTGTAATCACCTCACCTGCTTCTCTGTTGATGTACTAAGTTTATGTGTTCAGGATACTCTTCTTTATTTGCAGCATGCTGCATTGGATCAAATATTGAGGAATTGTCCTAATCACTTACATTATTAGAGCAAATAAATTAAAGTGAATCTAGCTTTTTTTTTTCTTAACTCCCCATTTTTTCCCCCCTTTTTTTTTCCCCTTCTTTTTGGTGAAGAAACCAAAGCAATTTCATACATTATTTGGCACCAGCTTTAGTGCAAGTACAGGTTTACCAAGGAGGGAAATAGAGGTTTTCTCTGCTTGTCACTGATGCTAGAAATGGTGAAGAGGTAAGACAGACAGTTTTTAAAATTATTTCTGACAGATCTGCAGATATCAGGTGTGTTTAGATAGAAATGGCTCAAACCTTAAAGTTTAAGTGTATGTTTGAGGTGCTTGTTGATCCATCTCCAAAAATTGGGAACTTTTGCAGTCAGTGATGGTATTGTCTTCAGTTGTCTTTGTGACAATTACACTCTAATGATCGGACACACTTGGACTTTACATCTCCTGGTTAAGCATACAGATAACTAATATACCTTATGACAGCCTCCAAATGGGCAAAAAATTTTCTTTCTCAGAGAAGCCATCAACCAGTGAGCTTCCCTAATAATGATTAATATAAGAAAGTTAAGCTAATACCATCTTAAATTTCATCTTTCCTTTCTATAATTCCAGTTCAGGGAAAGGATGTACCTTCTCACTACTTTACATGAAATCCTGGAAAGGTCATTTTTGTAATCACCAGAACCTACCATGTATGTAATTCCAGGGTGGGAAGGAGCCTTTTACATAGGCTGCTGTTGTCCATTTGCTGCAGGATCCATTCAGGAGTGTCTGGGGAAACAAGTGCCCTGACCTGTAGATCTTCTGGAGGTATTCAGTGTAACAATCCATAACACACTCCCACTGGCATACAGAGAGAGAGACAAGTGCAATTGTTGACAAGCATCTCAGCAATGACAGATCATCCCAGTGATGTACCTGTTGCCCATTTTCAAGCTAGCTTGTATTTTATGATACCAGCCAGCTCAGTATTAATTTTTGTTAACTGTATGTAGCCTTGTTGTATATATCAGACATAATGAGGCTATACCTACTGAATGCCTGTCTGGCAATCTCCAGAGAGCATTACACAAATTTATGGAAAAGCCCTGACATAGCTTTTTAAAACCAGAAATAGGACCTCATTTCATGAGCTCTGTTAATTCAGTTGTGTAAAATGTCCATTAAAAGAGTATGCATAGAAGAAGAGGTAGATTTTGTCAGTATTTGTTCAATTAAAATGTGTTTAGAATGGTATGTATGTGGGGCAATATTTGAATCAAATAATACACTAAAGTAAGGACAGAGAAGTGGTCTCCAGTGTTTTCTTTCCACTGAGTGATCTTACATTTCTGTCTGTTTTTCATTTGTGATTCTACATGTATTTCTTCTTAAATTAGGACAATATTTGATTTCTTTATCATAAGATGCCTTCTCTAGTACTGCGTTACTTAGGGCTTCCCACTCTATGTATGTCTGCTTTATTTTCCAGGAAGCCATTGTATGGATTGTTTCAATATAATGCCAGTATGATTGGACTAGAATCATTAGCTGATCCCTCAGATACCTGGGAAATTATAGAGACTATTGGGAAAGGCACTTATGGTAAAGTCTATAAGGTTGCTAATAAGAAAGATGGAAGCTTGGCAGCAGTAAAGATTCTGGATCCTGTCAATGTAAGTAAAAAGTGTTAAATTTTAACTTCAATGTGAATTTAAAAGAATACTTAGAGTTGAAATATAAATCAAATGTTTAAGATGTTGAGAACATCCAGAAGGGAACAGTTTTACAGAATCCACTTATAGAAGGAGTTTAGTACCAGCAACTGAATGATGTCTTAGAATTTCATCATCTTATTTGATGACAGTGTTTGCCTAGTTTCTATTTTAGCTCTGTGTAATTTCTTCTGCAACAAATTTAGTTGTCTTTGCTTGGAACATACAAATTATGAGAAGGCATTCCTCACAGGGCCCAGTATGGCAGGGAAAATACAAGATGGTGTTAACCTTAATGCTCTTGTTTTGTTCTGTGTACTCTCTGAAAGAGTTACTTTTCCCATCACAAAAACACTGTGAACTTAAAGATATTTTAGAGTTACCTTTTATAAGCACATAGCAGTGGGAGGCAAAAATTAAGAAAAAATGAGAAGAGCACATCCCATATCATCAGAGCTAGTTCTATTCCATCTCTGGTTTTAGTAGGTTTTAAATCCCTAACATCCCATAAGCTAGTGGTGAAGCTGGTGATGAGAACCAAGGCCCTACTCTGCAAATCAAAATTTAACTGCCAGCTGTTCAGGTTAGATCAAGCTGGAGTTGGATCATGACAGCTGGGTGAAAATAAATCCTAAAAATTGTTATGATTCTATCATCAACCACCACTAAAATTCTTCATGGTTTTGTTTGTATAGAAGAAAGGTGCAGAGTCAGCTGCCATGCAAAACATTATGAAGGAGCTATTTAGGGGCAGTTTTCAGTTTGGCAGGTCTATTGTAGCTACACAGTGGCTGGAGATCTGGGCTTTGTGGTTTTCGGAACCCTAACCCTAGGCATAACCCTAACCCTAGCTGGAGCAGGTGGTATTGGGACCTCTCTTTTATCCATCTGTGGAAAGCACAGGTTTCAGTTTTCTAATTGTCAGTTTTGTGTGGGAGTGAGGATAGTTTCATTACATAAGCACTCTTCTGAGTTTTTTCCTGTATGCTCTTATAAGCACTTTTTTGTAAATGTCAGCGAATTCTTTCATTAACAAGTACATAGTAAAATGTTCTTATGTATTGTGTCGATGTTTTTTCTCTCTTTGTTTTTTTCAGTTGTATGTTTTTTATCATAAAAATGTATTTGGTTTTATTGGTGGCCCCTTTGAGGCTTAGTGAGATTTTTCTGTTTATTCCTATTGATGACCATAGAAAAAGGAAAAAGTCAAAGGTTCATGCATTTACATTTAGCTCATATGTTAAAAACAGGCATGATTTTAAGAGGTTAAAAGTCATACATGTATGAACGTCTTACTTGGACAACTGTGGAAAGTTAAGTATGATTTTTAATTTTCTTGTGAAGTATATTATGTACTCAAAGAATTCTTAAATAGCAGCTGCTTGATTTACACAGGCTTCACTTTTTTGTGTGCAAGAAAAGCACAAGTGGCACAATTCTATATGCATTAAATGTCCAGTATAGTGTACTTTTTATGTTCATTAAAGTAAAACTATTTAGAAGTGCAAACTAAGATAAAATTAGTTCTTTCTATCCACGAGAGTTCATTCTTGCTTTATTTGGAGTCACTGTCATTATATGTTCTGTATATTTGTGTTTTTTTGTTTAGGATGTAGATGAAGAAATTGAAGCTGAATATAATATTTTGCAGTTTCTTCCCAATCATCCTAATGTTGTTAGATTTTATGGGATGTTTTACAAAGCAGATCAATATGTGGGAGGACAGCTCTGGCTAGTACTTGAGGTAAAAACATTTTGACAATATTACATTCTCCCTTAGCAAATGTGGTTGGAATTTTGTCCGTTAATGCTATAAGAGTCACAGGCTTTCATGATTTTCTGATAGATCATTTGTCGTAGCCTACTATTGACAATCACATCCAAACTTCAAAATTTGTTTAATAGGGAATGGTCTTGCATTTAATTTCTGTTTGAATTGCTACATTCTGCTTCCAAAAATAAGCAAGTTTTGGGGTTTTTTGTTTTTGTTTTTTGTTGGTTTTTTTGGTTATTTTTTGTTGGTTGTGGTTGTTTGGGGTTTTTTTTTTTTGTTAGAGGAAACATTAGATAAGACAATTATCTAAGCTTTTGGGGAACTCAGGCATTTGAGGGGAATGCAAAAGATGATGAAGTAGTGACGGAGGGGAGTTAACAAGCTGCCTACTGCAAAAGTGAACAGTGAAAGTGTAATGGGAAAGTCTGTTTTATGGTAATTTTAAACTGGGGGCTGGCTGGTTGTTGTTGGGAACCTAGCAACAAAAATGCCTTCTATTAACTCTTCTTGTTCAGTGGCAGTCAGTTCTCTTACAATGGCAAATGTATTTTGGTCGTCTTGTTTCCAGTTAAGTGACTGCCAAAGTGGTTGTAAAATGAGGATTTCTTTCCAGGCTTAATGGATGCAGAACTCTGCACAGGCAGTTACTGCTCTGATGAGCAGTAACAAACTAGTCAAGCATTTCTTTCTTTCATAACTTGACTGGAAAAAAGTAGGGTTCACTTTTTAATTATTGATTGTTTTAAAAATTCCACTCCCCATTCTTGAATGATGACTAGCATCAGAATAGGGAATCTTTATTTCCACTACAAACTGTGGAATCCCAACAGATCTAACTTCTATGTACTGGAGCAATATGTAGCTCAAATGAAAACTTCTGAATGTGTTTCCTCTTAAATTTCAAACTACTGAAAAGTGACCTTAGTATTTTTAATTTGGTGTTGGTTTCTTTGTATGCATGCTGGCTTTGTGTTGAGTTTGGGCTTGATTTCCTCTATGTTTTCTTTTTTAATAGAAGAGTCTTGTCTCTAAAGGTCCATTAAATGCCAAATGATAGAATTTTATAGAGCAAAATCATCATATACTCTGAAATAAAACCACATGTAGAATTTGATCAAGTTGTATGTGTGTGTAAACTCTATCAATTCAGTATGTGCATTTTAGGTAGCTTTTGGTGCACATAATCCAAAGTTTGGAAGAAATTTGACATTATAAAAAATGTATTTTCCTTATATGGAAAAATTTACCAGACAAACTATTCCTTCCCTTGGAATTTACAGCAGATTTATGCATGCATAGCAGTGATTTGTGATATTATAAATTAATGGGACATTTTCATTAAAAGGGAGTATACAAAGTATTCAGGCTTTGATTCCTGAGTCTGATGAAATACATTAATTTTTTGTATGACTTCCAAAACTTCCAATAAAAAGGGGAGTTTCTTTTCCTTTAAGCACAGTTTTGCCATTTTTACTCACTACAAGCAGGACATTACTTTGATAAGTGCTTGTGATAAGGAAGGGTGGCAAAAGTGGACACCTTTAGTATTTTTATGATGATGCAAGTCTTGGACAACTGTAAAGCAAACTTCTCTACTTTTTCATGTCAGTGTGCATCTCTCCACCTTTTAAAGAATTACCATTAAGCATAAAGTGGTAAGAAAGTTTTCATATTCATTTTGTTCGAAGTCTTTGCTGAGTTTCAAAAATAGTGTCACAGACAGCTGCAGTAGTGTTTGTGGGATATATTTTTGAGTCAGGCATTCATTTACCATATCCTACCAAACAGCTGTCAGTCTGTTATTTATCATTTGCAACCAGCTTGGGTTTTTTTTAAGTTAGGGCATATTTTTATCTATTTTTTTGAGGGCTAGAGATAAATTTAGTATAGTCTGTCTAAATAGAACATTTAATGCAATGAAAGCAATACAAAGAAAACTTTAGCTTAATGACTTGTCAGCAAATGGTTAGCTATGGGAAGAAAAACATGCAGTTTCATGTAAATACATTTGCTCGTTGATCTTGACCTGAATGGTCCCACAAATTTTATGAAAGGTAAGAAAAATGTTCCCTACTAACAAATTAAAAATCAAAGTCAAATTCCTACAGAATTTATCAATGTATCAAGTGATGAAATTTTCTTCAAGGTCCTTTCCATGAACTCAAACTTCTAGTCTAGTGAAATTTTTTTGGTGCAAGGGGAGATTAGCAATAATTATTAGCATATAACAGAAATTATTGGTTGGACTGATACACAGTTTTTCATAAAAGCTGTTTGAAAGATGCAAATCATGATAATTTAACTTCATACTAGTCTCCTGATTTATACTGTAGTATTTTAAACTGATAACGTTAAATGAACCTGTGTTGAAATGCATGTGATTCTGTGGCAGAAATGCTGGTAAGGGTGCTGGCCACAAAAACCAGCATAGAGGAGAAAATTCAGTGTGAGAAAGGCAGTCAATTCTCCCATCTTTTTTTCTTTTTTGGTCATTCAATTGCGAATATCAAGGTAATAAGAGGAAAGAGAGAGGAGAAAGAATGGATATTAATACCTGCTTAAAATGGTATGGACAGTAATCTTAAGGTTCAGATGTGAACATTGATTTACAAAGATGCTAGTTTTACCTTTTCTCCTCTTTTGATATTTAGCAGCCCATTAGTAGAAAATGCTTGCAAGATGCTGCTTCTCTGGATTAGAATGTTTCTCGGTTGTTGACAGCACATGGCATCAAATCTGAGTATAGAGATATAGCTTCTGTCTATTTTATATTGCCTGCCATCAGGAGCATTGATGGAGTGAAAGTTGAAAATGACTAATTTATTTCTTCCCAGTTATCAAGAGCATCAATCTTTTCTGTCTGACCTTTGCACAAAAGGATTTTTTCAAAAAGACAATGCATGTATTGTTGTGAAAATACTCAAATAATGTAAATTTGATTTATGAATCCTCTTTTAACACTTAAATACACTCCTATTCATATTATTTTGATATTTTTTATCTTTTTTGTTGCATTTTATAAATTACACTTTACAATTTTCAGTTTTCTTTTCCCTCCCCTCACTCAGGCTGCTGTGATTTATATTCACATCATGAATAAAATGAGTTCTGTTGTTCCCAGACTTGTGTTCTAGCACAGTTTTGCATAGTAGGTGTTTATAGTCTAAACAAGTATATTGAGTAACTGAGGACTTGTCTTGCTTTTTTTCCCTTCTCCCAACTGTGCCCTTTCCAGCTGTGCAATGGAGGTTCTGTCACAGAGCTTGTCAAAGGCCTGCTGAAGTGCGGCCGAAGGTTGGATGAAGCTATAATCTCATACATCTTATATGGTGCTCTCTTGGTAAGGATGTTCCTTGGGCTTGTAATGACAGCAGAGGGTGCAGCTCACGTATCACATGCTTACATTTTCCATTTATAAAGTATGGTAATGTGAGCAATATTACATGGGCTGTTACAACAGCAGGGGTTGTATAAAGGCATGTAATCCAGTGGACAGCTGTTTCTTTAGAGTATGCACAGATTTTCTTCATTACATTCCCTAATAGCAGGGTAATTGTTTTTAGATAAGGGAATAAACTTATTTTTGTTATTGCCGGTATATAGGGCCTTCAGCATTTACACAATAACCGGATCATTCATCGTGATGTGAAAGGGAACAACATTCTTCTGACAACAGAAGGTGGAGTCAAGCTCGTTGACTTTGGTAATGACCACTTCCCCTTTGTTTTTTTGATACATGCAGTTTAGCTAAAGGCATCTGTTTACTTTCCCCTGGGAAGGCAGAATGTCACAGCAAGGCTTTTTCAGACGCATACTCAGAATTATTTTAAGAAGGAAAATGCAATAGAAACCTGATTACAGCAAGAATAAAAATTCTAACTAAGAATCAGTAGAGTTTTAATTGTTAAAAGCTTAAACATAATTTAATAATTTTTAAAAGTTCTGAAGCTAGCATTTTATTTACAAAGCTCTTTTGCATTTCAGAAGAAATGTCAATTTCAGGGCAGTTGTCCTTCTAATTTAAATTTAGATATTCTGCCTTTTGCATATGAAAAGGAACCATTATTTCTGAAATGGCTTTTGATAGCCTTAAGCATATTTTTCCCATCTGAGCAGAAGGTAAAATAGTCCCTTGGGTCCAAAACTCAACGTCCATTTAATTTGTGATTATTGCTTTTAAGTTTGAGCATTGCTAGTCTAGATGCGTCATAAGAAACAAGGAGAAAGGGAGGGAGGGTGATAGAAAGGGAGTTGGCAATAGATTTAAAGTCCAATTTTTATTCCTTTGAACACACACGTAGAAAAAATAAAATAAATGCTTTAGTCCCTCAGATATGTATGCAAGGGAGTGGACAACTTTATTAAAGGTAACCGAAGCAGATTATTAGTAATATGATATATTAATGAAGCTGTATAATGCATAATGTCATCACCATTGAAAATAGTGTGTGAATAATATGTTTGTTTAGTAGTGCACCAAGGTAAATAAAAATGTTGAATAAGTGAGAGTAGGGTAGAATGATACGTCAAAAAAAATCTGCAAATAATATTTTTTAAAAATCATAAAATATTAAATTTATGCAGAGGAAATAAAATTGTATACTGGTGATGACACAGTACTATAAATTTAACACACATATTTATATATTTGAGATGCTAAAGGAAGCTGGCACATACGAGATTCCTTAGTATCTTCTAGGGATAAAAATTCATTATTTTGAATTGTAAAGGCAGCAATTTAAATAGTGCTAGGAGAAACATGAGACCTGAAGCAAAACTTGGAGTGAGTCCCTGATGTAATAGAAGAGTCGAAGATCCCTTCTCATTTGGGGGAATTTTGGCAGTCTAATCTGGTTTTACTGCATTGTTGGAAAAGTTTGCTTTTCTCCCCAAAGCAAAATATTTTTATCAGATATATTAAAGGCCTTAAGACAGACCTGTGTACTGCCACCCCAGATGGCAGGGAAACTGAGACTCCCAGTCTTTCTGGTGTCCCATGGGTCTCTCTGATTCCACATTTAGGTTTCAGGGGTTTTCTCCTACTTTTTAAGTTAGCACAGTAGCATTAGAAAATCACAACAGATATGACAGGCTCAGAAAAAAATGAGACTTAAATCTCGAGTGTTCTTTACTGTTTAACAGTTAGGAAATGCCAAGAAATGTCCATATATCTATGGGCTTGCTGACTAAAGAAATGTCAGGTAACAAGCTTTTATTAAGTTGCTATTTTTCCTGTCTTGTCCAGTGCTATAGCCACAGAACAGTCTCTGGGAACGATTTAGGACTGAGTCATGGGTCATGTTGCGTGTAGAACTGGTTTGTCTCATTTTTTGCAGAAAGTGAAAGATAAATAGTGAAATTGCAAGGAATTCAGGAAGAGAAGGGACTTGCAGTTGAGACAGTTGAATGACATCAAATTGGAGATTATTCTTGCTTCTGCTTGTGTTTCTCTGTGATGCTGGAGGGTCACTTACATCAAACTCAGTTCCTCATTTTCCCAATAGGCAGTTTGAAACATCTTGTCCTGCTTTGCAGAAGAGCTGTGTGTTCTTGAACTGCAGCTGAGATCTATTATAGCTCTGCTTTAGGCTTGTGGAGTGCCTGAAAACAAAGATCTCAGATTAAGTACCCAAACACAGTGGATGCTTTGGATATTTTTAGGTTAATCCCTGGAACTAATAATCCTCTGCCATTTTGTGGGAATGTTAAGTAGATTTGTTGCTTGGTGAGTGGGGAAGAAAATATGTCAAAAGAAAAGGAAAACAATAATTTCAAATTTAGTATAGGATTGGATATATGAAATAAGAAACAAGAAATCAAATCAGTGGGGTTAAAAAACAATCAAATTATGACCTATTCAGTGAATGTTATCCATTCAGTCCAGAAAATGAGACAGAATCTTGATCTAAAAAGAGCTGCTTCATATTCAAGGCTGTACATATGGATATTAAGTCACAGAGAGGGTTACACAGATATCTTTAGTTGAGGCTTTTCTTTCCTTTACTGCATGACTTTACAGCTTTTTTTTTTTCAGTGTGACACACATTTCTTCCCTGAACTGCTGTCGACAGCATAATATATTTAAGTAAATGATGGTCACAGTAAATTGACTCAAAATGTCTGCAATTTATAATTCATTTTTGTTCATGCTCTCCCTCTCTCAGCTCTTTGGTATTGCACACTGTTTTGGAATATCCCTTGATAGCAGCTATGAATTAAGCTGGCTGAAGAGAGATCACAGTGAAATGAACAGAGGCTTGTTGTATGACCTAGCCATTAACTGTTTCCCAGTGGTACTCAGGAACTCACAGAAGACTTGCAATTACACTGAAAAATTACAAACAAATATAAAATTAAATGCTGGAATCAGAAATCAAAGAATTTAATTTATGAATCTCATGTTTTTATTTATTGGCAGCAGTCAATATGTCTTATATGTGTTTCTGCTCATTTTTGTCTCTGGGTAATGCCAAAAGAGCAAACCACTGTGGCTTTTATTTTAAAAAAATGTTAAAGCAAAATGTATTTCTAATTCAATATTGGCTTTGTGTCACCTCATTGGAATGCTACTGAACTGAATTCATTCAATTATATGTTGACCAGAGCACAGAAGATTTGCTGTCAAAGTTCATTCTGATTTGTTAACATTGTTTGATTGCACACTAGTTCATTCTTTTGGTTTTTTTCAGTTGTGCTTCAGTAGTTCATGCCCAGTCAGCAAGGCTCTGAAGCTAATGTTTTGTTTTAAGTGTGTGCTTAATTCCCTAAGTACAAGCTGCAGTGTGAGTTTGAGCTTCTGAGCTTTTCTCATTAGGGAAAGATTTAAGCAAGTGCATAAGTGTTTTATTGAACAGGAGCCTCTGGAAGTACGCTAGTGAACAAATTTTTGGTCTGTGGTATTTGGGCAGTTCATCTCTGAAACAAAAGTTTTGAAGTCAAGTTGTAATTTTAATAGTTCCCATTTATACTTATTAAAACAGCAGAAAGAAATCTGGGATATTTATGTGACAATTGAATTTTTGAGTTTGAATAAAAGTGCTTCAAACTGAGAATCATTCAGAGAAAAAAAATCTCTCAGAAACGCTGAAGAAAACAGTAAGCTGGAATTGATTAAACAAATAAGTTGCACCTACTTTGGCCAGGCATTCTGCAGCTTGTGCTCACAGGTTTGGATTTTGTTTCCAGATACTTGGAACAAACTTACCAAAATGACAATGAGTTTGAAGCCAAGTTTCTTTGATCTGTTTTGTTGCAGGTGTTTCAGCCCAGCTCACCAGCACACGACTGCGCAGAAACACCTCAGTGGGAACACCCTTTTGGATGGCACCTGAGGTAGGCAATGGCGCCTGACTGGCTTGTCTCCATTCTTTGCAATGCACACTTTGTTGCCACTTCCCCATAGTAAAAGGGGATCTTTTCTTCCCTCCCTTTTGGCTGTGTTTCTGCCTTACATCTTGTCCTCTGTTCATTAAAAATAATATACTTTGAGTATACAAAATGGATTTCTAATAATCATTATTTTAGTTTCTGTAGTGTTTCCAGAAAAGTGCAGCAAACCTACAAATAACTGTGAGTCCTAGGAATGTTATGACTTTCCAGTTAAATACTGTATGTTTTGGGGTGCTCGTCCATGATGTAAATATGGACTGGGAGGAGAAGGAGGAATTCCTTCTTTCTAGTCTTGCTATAGTCTTGCACACTGCAAAACCCTGACTGATCTATGTGTTCTTTAACCTTAATTGTTGACTGGGGACCTTTCAACTTAGACACATGGGCTAGCATAGATTAAAAAACGGAGGAAAATAGTGCACAGGTATCTTAGCCCATATTCAAGTATCTTACTTACATAATTATACATACTAATACCCAGACATAACCCTTTGCCTTCTGTTTCATGAAGCTCTAAAAAGTTTTAACATATAGTTGAACAAAATTTTGTACTTTACCAAACTTGGGGGTGAAAAATATCAATCTTTTCCCACCCTGCTTTAAGGAACACAAAATACTTCTGGAAGATATGGATTATGAAATTTAAAAACAAGAATTGAAACAGGAGTGGTCTGTCTATTTGTAATTTGTTAAGCCTTTGCAACAGTACAAGCCTCTTTTCTGTTAAAGGCCACATGAAGTTTGGGGAATTTTGGATGGAATTTATGTATTACAAATGCACACAGGTCTATTTCTGTATGTTGAAGAGTTAAAAGTATCATGCAAACATTTGTTTTAAAACCTTTCATACTTTTTATGCCTCTATTTTTGTTGCTAAGGAAGGCTCATTATAGCTGAGCAGAGAAAAGACACTGCTGTAAGGGGTCTAAAATTGATCTTGCACAGTCTCACAAAGAATGGTTGATATTTCGCCATCTCCATAACAACCAGTTTACATCACAAAGGAGACACAAGATACCTTAGAAACCACTGTGCAAGCATTATTTATGGAATCACCTTGGTTGAAGACATTTCTAAAATGAGATGTCTATAAAATACTTCTATAGATAATAAGGGACATATTATGAAAGATTTTATTGAACATGGATTATTAAAGGTTATTTTTATTATATTGTTTTGCTTGAGTAATTGCCATCAAGGGCAGTAATCATACCAAATTTATTTTCCCTGCTATGTTGAAGGTATTTATTCTCATGGCAGAAAGCCAATGAGATAAGCAGATATTTTAGATCATATTTTGATCTGAAAAATTTTGACCTGAAAATACAGCACATGTGTAACCAAAGTATGTTATGTACATGGCATATCAAAGAGGAACAGGTGTAGCTTTGAATACTTCCTGTTTTGAAAAGATCTGTTGGAAGAACCAACTCAGTACCATAACCATAGTAACCCATATCGCATTTAAATGCCTGTGTGAGACATGCCAGGCTTCCTTGCCAATCTGCAAAACAGCTGTAAGGTGCTTAGATATCCATTATGCTGTTGTTGAAATGGCTTTTAAATGACAGGTTGCATAACATGCTTGCTCAAGTCACTGCAGTGGCTCATATAAATGACAGGTTTCAAGTGATGTGAAAGATGCAATTTACTTCATTTCTGAGGAGATATTTCTGGTATTTTTAAAATATGCACCAAATTTTTTATGTGAAAGATGGGAATTTAGAACTGCAATAAAATGAAAAGGTGTGCTTAGGTAACAGTTTATTAGGAAGAGTATTTTCTAGATGAGGTTGTGGTGAGATCAGTAACACTAGAAAGACACTTAACTCACTTTTTTGCACTCACTTGCAAAAAAATCTTGCTGACTAAAGGTTTTTGACATAGATAATTTATGTCAAGCCCCAAAATATCATAAAGTAAGTGTAGAGGAATGAAATGTTGCTAATCACAGAAATAGAAAGGATTTTTTAAATGAACTTTAACTGTCTACATATGAAACATAGGTACCTCGGTCAATTCATAAGGTAATCATGGGATCTCATCTGGCAGTGAGAAAGATGGATTTATTCTGAAGGGGGAGTGAAGAGGGGAGATGAAAAAGCTTGCCTTGAAGGAAGACACTACAGTAGTGTTTCAGAATAGAATAAAGCTGACAAGAAATATTTTCCAATGTAAACCCCAGGAACATAAAACCCAGAAAAGAATGATGCAGGATGTTCCAAGCTGACAGATAGGAATAACTAGATATAAGCAGGAGACAAATACACAGGAAAGTGGAATTGCTAGATCAGCCTGGGTCACGAACAGTCTGTAAAATGAAGAAAACCATATTTTAAGATTAAGTTTGCAAAACATATCAAAGGGATTATATGGCACAGTACTTGAAACAGCAAAGGTTCAGAGGAAAATAGTGATGACTGAGGGTGGTGTAAGGAAGGTGTTCAACTCAATGTTCTTACTGGCAGCACTCAAAGTAGCAGCTTAACTGCTTAATTTTTGAGTGACTCAGACATCCTAGCTCTTTTTTTCTGATGACTCTGAGGCTTGTTTAGCAGTATCAGGACACAAAAAGATCTGTCCTTGCACGTTTGTTTTGAGCAGAGCTTGTGAGTCACAAAAATTTTGCTGAAAAATGAAAATACTGGTAAAAATTAGGCTGTGAGGAAGCAACAGAGAAACGTGAAAAGGATAAGTTAGTTTGAGAGCAGCTTTAAAGCTTTTCACTGAAAATGAATAGTTGTTGTTTAACCTAATTAATATTGTTTCATACTTAAAAACATAGACTCTCAGAAACTGAAACACTGAATACAAGCTTACCAATAAAAGATAAATAAGACAGGATAGTGTTAGTATGTTTACAGCTGACTATTACTAAACACTTAAAGCACTTACCTAAAATCTGCTTCTATAGTACTGAAATAAATTGTGTTATGTGCTAGCAGGATGAATCAGATTTGAAGCTTTTGTACTGAACTACCTTTACATTTGTGATTCTAAGCATTAACATGTCTTGTTTTCAACTTCCAGTGCACAACTAAGCAAAACCTAGTTCAAATAGAATTGGAGATTTTTTTCCACACATATGATTAGATTATCATGGTCCAGCTGAAAACTTGACTCTTGAAACAAGACTCAGTTAGAATACCACAATATAACAGAATCACAGAGTCAAATGTGTGGAAAAGACCTCTGAGATCATTGAGTCCAACCTATGACCAATTATTATGTCACCTAGAACATTGCCCTGAGTGCCATATCTAGTCTTTCCTTAAGAACCTGAGGGATTGTGCCTTCACCACCTCTCTGGGCAGTTCATGCCAATGTTTAATTACCCTTGCTGTGAAGAAATTCTTAATGTCCAACCTAAACCATCCCTGACACAGCTTAAGACCATGTTCTCTTGTCCTGGTTCAGATTGCCTTGAAAAAGAGTCTGACCTCCACCTGGCTACACTCTCCTTCCAGCAGGTTGTAGAGAGTGATGAGGTCCCCTGAGCCTCCTCTTCTCCAGGCTAAACACCCCCAGCTGCCTCAGCTGCTCTTCACAGGACCTGTGCTCCACACCCTTCACCAGCTTCATTGACCTTCTCTGGACACACTCCAGCACCTCAAGGTCCTTTCTGAACTGAGGGGCCCAGAACTGGACACAGCACCCGAGGTGTGACCTCACCAGTGCTGAGTGCAGGGGACAGTCATTGTCCTGGCCCTGTTGGCCACACTATTCCTGATACAGGCTGGGATGCCACTGGCCTTCTTGGCCATTTGGGCATGCTGGCTCATGTTCAGCTGCTGTCAACCAGCATCCCCAGGTCTTTTCCCACTGGGCCACTTTCCAGCCACTCTGCCCCCATCCTATAGTGCTGCATGCTCAATCCCCTCATTCAGACCATCAGTAAAGATATTAAACAGGACTAGGCCCTACACTGATCCCTGGGGGACACCTCTAGTGATTGGACACAATGGAGGCAACAGCACAGTTCACCACCACTCTCTGGGCCTGGCCATCCAGGCAGTTCTTAACCCAGTGAAGAGCGCACCTGTCTAAGCCGTGTGCTCCCAGCTTTTCCAGCAGTATGCTGTAGGAGATTGGACATCAAGTCCAGGTAAACAACATCCACAGCCTTTCCCTTGTCCACTAGGCAGATGACCTGGCCAAAAAAGGAGGTCAGGTGTAGCAGGCAGGACCTGCCCTTTCTGCTGGCTGGGTCTGATCCCCTGGTTGTCCTATGTATCCCATATGATCACACTCGAGATGATGTGCTCCTTGTGTATATATGTACATATACAAATGTACATGTTTGATCCAAATTTAATTTCAAGAATGGAAATAGAAAAAGATACTTGAAGTCAGAAAGAACTGGAGAGATGCTGAAGTTAATTTAAAACTGCAGGGAATATGCTGGGAATATGCTGTTATATTTTACTGACAACTGCTAAAAAATTGACCCTGGTAAATGTATACTTATGTTTTAAAAGGAACATAATTAAAGCATGGTTGATCCTTTGAAGGATTAGGTGTTGAAATATGACAGACACATCCGTAGGAAAGGTTGTGATATTGTGGTAAAGATATATGAATTCTGTAATAATGAGTTAATGACAGGTAAAATATTTGGTCTGTTTTCCTATTTTGAGATATTTTTGATGTCACAATATTATTTAAAGCTGTCTCAGCTCTGTGTTTTGAATATTTGTTACCATGCTGGCAGGAGGAAGTAATGATTAGTAGGATTGCCTCAGACACACGTTTCCTTGTCTTCTGCTGAATCAAGGCATTCTCCTGGGATAAAATTAAGTACATCTGAGGATCAGAACAACTTTCCAAAGTGTTAGAACACTAGGTGACCAGCTTAAATTGTCTTTCTTCTTCCAATGTTCCTTTGTATTCTTTTTAAACTTTAAATCTGATCATGTGTGTGTGAAATAAGTCTAATCCTGAAA